GCAGCTACACAAAAGACGAGGTCTGAAATCCGTACGGCGATATACTTCGCTACCAAAGAATTACAAAGTCTTATCCGCTCAGAACCTAGCTTTCAGAAATTCGATGTGAAAAAAAAATAAAATTCCTACGTGTCAAGCTTTTGGAATTCTTTCAATATTATCTTGATAACGACTCTAACTATTCTTACCATTTTGATAGAGCAGATAACACATTTTTTCTGACCTCGTGGTTTTCGTAAATCAAAAAGGCCAAAAATGTCAGATAGAACTTTGCAATTCTAAGGTAGCGACGTCCAACCACACTAGTATCGTACCGCTGTGTTTGGATTAAGGAGGGGTGGGGGGGAGGGGGGGCTACACCCCCAAAATCAAAATTCGGCTCAAAATCATGGAATTTGAGTTGTAGGCATTTTTAGCTTCCTCAGCCTCTCCTAAAACTATTTTATGGCATAAGAACCCCCAAAAACCGTATTTTTTCCCGTACCAGGCATGTTTGTAACCGCCATTTCCTCATAAAGTCAGTATTTTATTTTTCTTTATCGGCCGTTTTCTCAAAATGCGACTTTCCTCTATACATTTTTGAATAACTCCACCATTTTTCATCCAATCTTCATGAAATTTTCACAGAATAAAAAGAAGAGGTAATACTAAAAATTTGTCTGTTGAATTTTTGATATATGGAATAGATTTTTGTTGGTGGTGTCTGGAGTGTGGATTTTCACGGATTTTTCGCAAACTTGAATGCTACCTCAGGAAAAAATTCATTAAAAATTTTCTAATTCGATTAAGGAAAAAACAACAGAAATTCTTTTAGATCTAATGTTTGTAAACACGCATGCCAAAAAACAATCAATTTCCATGAGCGATAAGTGCGGTATTCATTACGTAAGACATAAATAAAATCCAATATGGCGGCGTATCCATGGAAACAAAACTTTTTTCTCAAATTTGATTGCAGATTTTAAGACTCCTTACTATGCTTGTTATATGTGTGAAATTTGGTAAAATTCGGTCCAGTAATAAGCGAGATAGCCTCCAGGTGTAGCCCCCCCCCTTAATGATACCAAAGAGGCATTTCACATAGCAAGCTGTTTTTGATTAATTCCTATTATATAGATATGTGAGGTAGCGTGGTGGAATCAGGCTCTCGTCAATTTTTGTGCATGTAGAGTTATTTGCATCATCTTAAAGCTTGTTCATTTTTCTTCATCTAGGTGAAAAAAACATCCGTTTGTCTTGAATACAAGTCGAGATATTTACGAATGAAGGGGGTGAAGCTCACCTGTTTTCAGAGGTCAGATTAGTGAGAAAATGGCCGCCAAAGATTAGTTATTTCCTTAGCTTAAGAGTCCGTGGTAACTGAAAATTTACATATTTATGCCTTTAATCAACGCTTTTCAGAAAATTCCATACAGAAACGAGTCCTTTAATGGGCATGAAAGGTGTTGAGCTAAAAAAACAAAAATTTGATACAAATTTACAAACTTGCGGGAAAATGCCAGTTTCTTCATTTTGGTTATTTTGATGAGAGCCTGATTCCACCACGCTGCTTCACATATACATAAATACATTCAAATGGAACCTGCCTACTATGCCTGTAATCCTTTGCACGTTTTACACACCTCCTTATAATTGTTAGAAGTATTGTTCTTCACCAAGGTGTTTCTTTCTAGACGCATATCTGAGAAGTTACCCGGTGAGAATCGGAATTTTAAAATATTTATATATTTTTTTCGGGGTTGGTGGTGGGGTGTTCGTGGTGAACAGGTATTTACTTATAGACTGACCAGCCTTGTGCATTCTCGCATTTACTGTTTACCAATTCATGAGAAAGGAATGCAATATTAACTTGTTTTGTTCGCTGTTTCCTTTTGTTCTCACTGAGTAGGCTGTGCGAGAGCTGAAATAGCTCTTTTGTTGTTGTTCTTTACCACTGGAGTCCCCGAAAATAAATGACATTCAAATTTCCGAAATGTGAGAGCCGACTCAATCAATTTGCTGCCAGAATGCGACTTCAGGGGGCTATGCTAAAGCTCTATTGTATCCGTTGGCTTTGTTTAATATTTATGGCTTTATGTACAAGTGTACTTCCTGTTCAAAGCTGGGAAGGCGCTTGCCATAATGTTATAAAACTCCATACCGTGCTGACGTTTCTTTCTGTGGTGGACAGGTTTATTACACAAAAGAGTTCTCTCCCCTTCCCCATCCTATCTTATATCTCACCCCTCCCACCCCCAACTCTCTCCCTCCCCCTTCTCTCTCTCTGTCTTTCTCTCTCTTTCTTCCTCTCTTTCTCTCTCTCAATCTCCCTCCCTCCCTCCCTCTCTCCCCCCCACTCTCTCTCTCTCTCTCTCTCTCTCTCTCTCTCTCTCTCTCTCTCTCTCCTATCTTTTATTCTCGTCCCTTCTCTCTCTTTCTCTTTCTCTCTATCTCTACCTCTACCTCTTTGTTTGCACCCCCCTCTCTCTCTATTTTTGTCTGTATGTCTGTCTGTCTGTCTGTCTGTCTGTGTGTCTGTCTGTCTGTCTGTCTGTCTGTCTGTCTGTCTGTCTGTCTGTCTGTCTGTCTGTCTGTCTGTCTGTCTGTCTGTCTCTGTCTCTATCTCAGTTTCTGTCTGTCTGTCTGTCTGTCTGTCTGTCTGTCTGTCTGTCTGTCTGTCTGTCTGTCTGTCTGTCTGTCTGTCTGTCTGTCTCTCTCTCTCTCTCTCTCTCTCTCTCTCTCTCTCTCTCTCTCTCTCTCTCTCCCTCTCTCTCTCTCTCTTGTTTTCACTTCATGCAGTGCTTTGGAGACTGAAATGAGCTCGGTATAGAAATTAATGTGTCCATTTCCTACTGACAATTTACCCTTTTGAGCACACAAAGCAATATTATGACCAGGATATTGCCTATTCACTGATTGTAGCTTCTGCTCCTATATACCGTCTTTATTTTGATAGTCGGTACGGCATGGGTTTAATGCACCTTTTAACACTATACAGAAAGATAATGAGAGCGGACCTCCCAATTTAACTTCATCTCATTCAAACGGTAATGATCCCTTGGTGGTCCAACATGGATAAGAATAGGTTTCGGCCGCTACCCGGGTAAAATTCAAAATTAATTCCTACCAAACTGAAAAAGTTTAATACGTCTTCCACACTCATATGACCGTATGCAGTTGCGAGCGCTGTAAAACACTTTTGCCAAAACAACCCCCCCCCCCCCCCCCGCCAAGTCCCCATTCAACCAGTATTCAAGAATGCCCCATAGAGGATGCAAATAATGTCAGTGGGATACACGTTAAGCGGATGCCTCTCTGAAACTGATCTGGAAACATGCTTTCGTTCTTTGTTTTATCCTTGTCATCATCATCAATAACAGCAGCTGATTCGTAAGCCTTGCTCTGTCTGTACAGCAAGGCCAGTTGTGATTATTATCACCTTTGGTTCAGTGTGACCTGGGTGGAACAAACTGAATAAGTGAGCTGTCTAACGCTCCCCCTTCCCCCAAAAAGTAGAGAAGAACGAAAGAAATAGATAAATAAATGATTAAATAAAATAAAACAAGTAAACCAATTTATTAAGTAATCAATCAATCAATTAAAAATAATGATAAATATTAAGAGATTAAAATAAAAACACTGTCTTTTTTCTAGCTCTTTACTCTTAATTGTTCTCTTGCACCCAAAATATAGGAAAAAAATGTACTACTGAATATGGCCTGAAAGAAAGTAACCCTATAGTAACCCCCCGGGGCGGTGCTACTGACTGAAGTGTCTTTAGGCCATTCCCAAAAGGAGGTAGGTACATTAACATCTCGAGTTCTTATGCACAGCAGAATTGTAATTGTAAATGGGCTGATTCATCAATGTCATGCTCATAACTGTGCCTGAACTGCAACGAGGAACTGCAGCCTTTTCTTTCCTAATCCTTACTATTGTCATTTTTCTCTACTTCTTTTGTATGTTTGTCACACTTTTGTGACCCGCTATTTCCGGGGTGCCTTGATAGTCGAAGCAGAGGTGAGCAAAGTAAATCTGATTCCCTGTAAGGACTTCATTGTTGACATCCACCCCTTGACGTTCATATGACCTTAGATAGATAGATAGATAGATAGATAGATAGATAGATAGATAGATAGATAGATAGACATGCGTTTAGCAGGTAACTTAGTCTAACTGTCCAAACAATGACATGTGTTGGAGAGACAAAACAATGTCCTGATAGTTCATTGTCTCAAAGACACACCGACAGTAATGACTAGATCTATTTCCTGTTTGTTTTGTAAATCTCTTTTATGTTATTCTTTACCTTTCAGTGTATTTAGAAAATAATATAAATAGGCAACGAATATAATGAAGAAGCGTGAACTCTTGTCTCAAAAAAATAAACCTGTCTGTCCATCACTGAGGCCTTAATTTGTTATTGTTTTCACCAATGTTGAGCTTTTCATCTACATGAGTTTGAGTAACTACTAAAACCAGCTCCGCCATAGTGTTTTTGACAGACACGCAGTGCTAAAATCATGCAACAGCGAGCTAAAGTATTCAAAGTTTAGAAATAAATAAATGTCCCCAGAGGACACATGGGGTAGCACTGTTTATCCTTTCCTTGTCCCTCTGTCTCGATCTCTCTGACGGTCTCTGTCTACCATCTGTCTCTGTCTGTCTTCTTGTCTTCCTTTGTGTCTGCTTGTCCATTTGTCTATTTGTCTGTCAGTCTGCCTTTCGCCCCCCTCCACGGGGTCTGTTTTCTTTTTACTTTGAGTGTGTAGTCCAGCTGTGAGATGATTAGAATAGGAATTCTGTTCGCATTATGATTAGTATGTTTAATTATTTTTTTTAATGGGTCTATTAATTGTTTGTACTCCTAATGAGAAAAACAGTCACCTTCAAAAGATTTATAACTATTTTCAGAACGATTGATCCTATTTATGTTGTCCTGATTTTTATTTCCACCCCCTCCCTCCCCCCTTTCTGTTTCTTCCTCCCACTGTCACCCACGCTCCGCCCCCGACAGGTATATCACGTCACGTCAAGCCATCACTAAGGAAGCGTTCCCACCAGGTGTCTTTGCAACCCCCTGTTGCGAGTGGATGAATTCTGTGCCACAAGACACAAGCTCCGCGCTGAAACATCTGTATGGCCAGAAGGAGTCTAACTGCACTGTTAGTTGAGCTTGATTATTCTGTGAACAAATATGACTGCTATGTTCTTTGAGCTCCATACGTTATTCTCGATTGAAATTATTGTATTTGTCGAAAGGCAAACGGACAAGTCTACATTTGTGAAAATGTTTACAAGAGTGATGCCTTTTTTATGCTAAAATATTACTTTTGGGGATCAGACTAACTGACAACGATTGATGGTGACATGAACAGAAGTTTGAAATGGCAGGCAGAAAATCTACGACTGTGATTCCGAACCTTGGAAGCAAACCATTCGTACCTTCAAAATATGTGGATGATAAAATTATAACTGATGCCTTCTTTGTGAGCAGATTCTGCCTGTTTTTAAAATCAGTCTGTAGTGTTAATTCTTAGTTTTCTCTTCTAAGCCAACAACGTGGTGACACTTTCCAATTTAGGAATTCAATAAAATCCAACCATAGCTTTGTGGTGGCGCTTTTTATACTCTATTGATTCATTCTTGTGGAAGCAATCTAATGCATTCTCTGAGCGGTATACCTACTTACAACTAACCGCTATAGTTGTTTTCACCTGGGAAAGAGGATTGCTGCTTACAAATGCTATAGTTGTCACCTTGATTGCAAGTCAGCCTTATAGTTTCTATCTGGCCCATGCCAGGGTAGCTAACACCAAATGGCTGACACCACGGCGGAACATCATCTCCTGTACCCGGGCAAAGACCATCGCAGTTTCTTCGAGATATGGGTCTCTGCTGTGCCGATGGTGGCAATCAGCCTGACAACCATCGTGGCAAATGGCGCCATATTGACTATGTTTCTGAGCAGACGCGGCTTGCGACGATGTAAAAATGTGTACCTAGCTAGTTTAGCGCTAGCCGACTTCTTAGTTGGCCTCACGATGCCTTACAAGATGACACGAGACTTGCACCGATCATGGGACAGTGGTCTGGGCTGTAGGCTTTACCAAACGCTGCGACAATCTCTTATGTACGTGTCTTTTCTCAGCATCTTCCTCATAACGGTGGACAAATGGCGGGCTATCCACTACCCAGTGTCCTATCGGAACAAGCAGACCAAACGCATAGCAGTCGCAGCAGTTGTGATGGTGTGGGTCATCAGCTTCTTCATCTTCAGCGTACCACAGATATGGTGGGAGGATTTTATACTCTCCAGGGCCTCCGACTTGAGCCAAACTCGTATGGTTGCTGTGGAAAATGGTGTAAATGCCCGGCCCGAGAAAATAGGCATCAGTAACCTTAACCGTAACAGTAGCACTAGTGGCAGCAGTAGTAGCAGTAGTAGCAGCAGCGGTAACAGCAATAGTGGGAAAGCTCAAAACCTTTCTTTAAATGTGCGGTATAGAATTAACAGCGGTCACGAGCGTAATCGTTACGGGATATGTCCCGAAGGTTATCACTTGGGATTTAACATCTCCGTGTTTTCCACTACTCTCTTCTACGTCATTCCAATTCTAACCATGCTGATTCTAGACACGAGTCTGTATCTTAAAATTAAGTGGCGAAAGAGTGTAGAAGTGCAAAGGTCTACGAGCGTGACGGACACTTACTTCATGACTCTGAAGAAGCCCGCGCTCGAGCTTGAAAGCTGCGTTAATTCTGGAGGCGACGATGACGCAGCGAAAGAGTCTCTTCTCAAGAACTCGGACAATAAACCCATAAACAAACACTTAGCCATTGGCGGCGCTCGAGGAGAGAGGCGACACAGTTCTCTCCCCGCTATTTCCCCCATCATCAAAGGTCGGACGTCCAGCGGTCGGCGAGTATCCATGCCCGAAGGAAACACTGGCGGCGGGTGTCGATACGTAGGACGGAAGTGGTCAGGGTGTTCCACAGCTTTCGGCAATAACCAGAACCAGAATCCTAACCCGATGGCGAACCTGGCGCCGCGCATCCACAACGAGGATATGGTCCACGATATCCTGGTCAAACAAGATCGTAAAGCCGCCCGCTGTCTGTGCTTGATGCTGCTCACCTTAGTCGTGTGCTGGTTACCCCACGCCGTGGTCAGTTCGGTCAACGCTCGCTGCTGGTGTCTGCACGGCGGACCTATAATAGCCACTGGCTGGATCTTCATGCTTGACCATACGGTCAACCCGTTTCTCTACGGCCTTATGAACGCGCAGTTCAAAAATGTGCTGAAGCAATGGCTGCTCATTGAGCGGGTTCATGCCTTCAAGATGAGGGACACGCTGATCTTGAAGAACCTGCAGAAGAAAGTGGTGTGTGAGGAAAATAATAAAGACAAAAGTCCGGTGCCTCAGACAAAGAGCGGTCATGATATCATAGAGGTGGTGGCGACCACAGACTCTGACCACACACCCTTGTAGCGTGGAGCGGGGACCAGCACTACATTCGAGGTAAGTTCTCTATGTATGCGTTGTTTTTAGTTGTAAGTCTCCTAGTCTCCTAGTAGTATCTATCTATCTATCTATCTATCTATCTATCTATCTATCTATCTATCTATCTATCTACCTATCTATCTATCTATCTATCTATCAATCTATCTATCTATCAATCTATCTATCTATCTATCTATCTATCTATCTATCTATCTATCTACCTATCTATCTATCTATCTATCTATCAATCTATCTATCTATCTATCTATCTATCTATCTATCTATCTATCTATCTATCTATCAGTAGAACATCATCTTTGGGTCACAAATTAATAAGGAAACCCATCAAATTACATGTTTGGTAGGTACAATGTTAGCATCTTGCTAAGAAAATGGTGCGTATGGTTCTGTTTCGAATTTGGAATAAAGCGGGTTTGGGTTTCTTTGGGGGTTTATTTCAGGAAGCTTTCAGTGATATCTACTAACCTGGCTTGTCAATTTCCCTGGTTTTTGTCTCCTACATAATCTCACAGTTTTGAAATGGACACCGCACGTTTGCCTTACCAAAACATACATAGAAAATGTCCACATAATGTAGAAATGTATTATTTTGGGGGGAAAGTCAGGGCAATGCCCTTCAATAGCAACAGTACTTGTGGAATGTCCCTATCAGGATTAATGGGACTTTTTCACCTGACCCGATTCTTTTGTATTCCATGAAAGTAAAACCTTTAAAAGAACATAATTTGTGGATATTGTCACGTTTCTGTTTAGTGTTTTCGAACCATTTCTAAACTGTTAAGGGTAGTAGGAAATTGAACAGTTTCACACGACTGCTTTTCTATGCAAAGCAAACTTAACGGCAAACTCAAAATGCAATGATTATAACAACAACGAATGTTTTTGCCGGTTTCAGAACGAGCAAAGGCTTTAATAATTATTACTATAACACGGGCTTTTATTACTATTAAGCTTGGAATCATACAATTTTATCTGAGACTTTCGGTCGTAAACCAAACTTTGTATCTACTTTATAACAATGGTGAGATTATTTGGAGTCCTTTTACAAAATATATAAGGAATAAAATTTGAAAAAGGTTGACATGTTGTGAAACTCAACATTTTTAACGACAATTTCTCAAAAGTAGGCACTGAGCAGAGAAAACTTTGTGATTCTAAGGTAGTGAACAAAGTCTAGAGCGTACAAAGTGAAATCGGCGGGACGCAGAAATCTTTTCATTATAAGTACAAATTTTGCTATGCGCGTGTTTGAAAGCTAGGAATAATAGTGCATGTAAGAAAAACTGTGGCCTGAAAATATGCTCGCTGTGTGCACGTTCGTGATGTGCATGCTAGACTATTATTAATTTTATCATCATCATCATCATCATCATCATCATCATCATCATCATCATCATCATCATCATCATCATCATCATCATCATCATCATCATCATCATCATCATCATCATCATCATCATCATCATCATCATCATCATCATCATCATCATTATTATTATTAATATTATTATTATTATTATTATTATTATTATTATTATTATTATTATTATTATTATTATCAATATTATTATTACTACGAGAGTTATGTTGAAGTTACGTAAACCTGCGGAGTAATATATGAATAAATAACGTTAACTTCAACTCCTTATTTCTCATGTCAAATTTACTCTTCTATACCCCTTTTCGTATTTTATTCCAAACCAGTGTCGTTTAAACTATCGTTGCTTCTTCCTAGCATTGGCAAAGTCAAAGGCTTATGGGTCACGATATATAGACTACCTTGCTAGGTCGTACAACGATACATACGTCTGGCACTAACTTGAACAGACAAAAGCGAGGCACATGAGGTACCATTGAATAGTTGAAAGAGGACGCTCACCTATATTTAACAGGAAACTATTAGAGTGACTAGATCAAATAAACCAGAAACAAACTTACAAAATAAGTCATTCCAAGTTTTTGAAAATTGTCTTTCGAATAACAATATTATTGTTCTTTTTCTTTTGTCTTTTTTGTGTACGGAAGGCGTCGATTAAATTAAGTAAACGAACTCCACTTTTTATTGATCCCTGTTGAAAAGTCTATGTGCTATACAATTTAAAATTTGCCAAAGCAGGCAAGTGCTAGAGTTTATTATTAGCTGTGTCGTAAAGGTGGCACAGATAGCGTAGACCGATGTCATTCTCAGTGTGATTCGCCTCGAATCATAGATCCAATGTATTGCTTAGCAAAGTGACTAACATGATCAGAGTGCTAGTTCAAGTAAAAGGTTCACAGCGCTTGCAACACACAAAAATAGACGGATAAGCCCGGAAGATTAAATTGTGTTACAAGAGAATAACATACATAAGGCAAGAAGGAGAGATAGGGACGATAGATGTTAGATAGGAAAGAAGAAGCAAACCAAACCTACCACCCAAATAATAACAACCCCGAGGATAAAGTTTAAATGAGGCATAATACAACACATACTATTTTTGTAAACCGCCACGGCTAATTCACCACATTTCACACGCTAAGACATTGTTACTCCCCATGAAATACTTATTTTTAGATAATGACGCAGTGCCAACTCCTGCGACTTCCCCTTTTGCTCACTCGGTATAATGCTAGACTAATGTGTCGGAAAATCTTGTTTGACTTCCAAAGTCCAGCCCGTTTGGAGGGTTCCAGATTCCCATTTCATTTCTGAGATGAACGGTCCAGCCTCTAAGATAACTGTATGTTGCTGAGAGACGCGTTAAACAACCACGCTATGACTATCGTTCATGCTGACCGATGACTATCCTGTGTTTATGCGAAGCATTTTTGTCGTTTCCGAATAGCTGCTATATTCTGAGGATTTGCATTGTTTCACGACCTCAAGCAGTTGCCTTTTGTGCAGACGCTATGTCGAATAGGCACTCATTAACAATGCATTATGGCTTGAGCATTTCATCATTCAAGCCCTCTGTATAAAGGAGATGAATGTTCACAAGCGTCGTGTGATGCTAGGGGGAATTGGTGAATAGTGAGGAAACCATAATATGGAGACTTGGAAAAAGTCCAGAAAACTTTCGTTTGTACTTTAAAAAAATAGGACAGCGTTTCGACCGTTCGGGTTTCATCTGGAGCGTTACTAGAAAATATCAATTCCAAAGTATCAAGAGCGTTCACTTAAAGTTAATGATGGTTCACAATGGTCAGCAAAGGAAAAACATACCGCGAAGAAAATAATAAAGTACTTTAAAAAAAGAAAAAGAAACAGTACTACAATCACGGCTCCTCTAAGTTCGACAATTCAGTTCAAGAAACCTGAATGCCACATTTTTCTAAAATCGTTGCCGTAGATTTTTCTATGTCACACTTATTCCGATATAAATATCGGGGTGGAAATAACGTATTTACCTTCCGATCCTCACATCGAAAAGTTATTTGACGGAGAAAGATCTGCGGCCACGGAAAAGCAAAGTAAGTCGATTTTAGAAAAATGTGGCGTACGAGTTTCTTGAACGGAACCGTCGAGTTGTTGATTTCAAGTTGTCATTTGTAGGGTGGCAGTAGAACAACTTCTACATTTGAAAAGAAACCGATCAGAATAAGGTCACGATCATGAAATCGTCTCAGCTTCAACTCATAGAAGAAATTCTATACACGGTATCACCACATAAGCATTCACTGAGAGAGGCATGAGCCCTTTACTGTCTTGACGTCTTCGTTACGGATCTTTAAGGCACTAGCAGGTACATGCGTTACGTTCAATTTCTTCATCTTGACAATGCGGTGGATAAAGTGCTAGACTACACCGAGGCCACACAGTTAAGTGACAACGGAAATGAGTAGAAATACTTTTTATGCACTGCCATTTGCACTGTCGTACCAGGCGCTTTGCCATAAGTACCACTCAACAGGACTATTTAGTGGCACGCAATATTGCCTGAGTATAACCATAAAGCAAAAGAAGCATCAATGAGATGTGACATATAATGCTGTTTTACGTTCTTTATACTGATTAATGCTATACAATATGTGTGGGAGGGTAAATGTGTCACTTGAACTTCTGGTCACGCAAGTTAATTTTAACAGCAACAATGTGGCAGGTGTGCAGATGTATGTCATCTCGGAGATGGAAATGTAAAGCAAACCTACAGCTGTTGCTGTTTTTAGATCCAACTATTATGTCATACGTTTGTCAGATCACCATACTACGACCTTTGTCAAACAAAAAGACTCACGCTCCACAGGGACACCGGAAAGAGCAATAGAATTAAATTCTGGGGGAAGGGGGGGGGGTGTGGAAGTGGAATACACAGAGAAATTATCCCTAAATGACGAATAAACCAACGTGGTCAATGAGTAAGAATAAAATCAAGTGAAATCCCCCTCCCCCTCCTCCACCCCCAAGTCTCGTGATTAAGACGCATGCATAAGTCATGAAGACATGTATGCATAAAAAGTGGCAACTTTCTTTGCTACTAGACAGATTTCTATAAACGTGTAAACTTATTCCACTTCGAAAGTCCACAACATGATGAATGTCATTTCGTTGTGTGACAAGCTTAGGGCTGGAGAGGAAAACGAAAACAAAAAAGCTTAATTAAGACTTATACAGCAAAACGAAATATAGGCTATAGTGTTTTCCCCCCATCTATGTGAGAATGAGCTATTCAGCAAATCAATACGATACAAATGACCTCGTTCAGAAGCTGAAAAGACTGAGAACTGACTTGTAACAGTGACTTCTCAATATAATGTTTGTGTTTATTCTGTTTCAATATCAGTCAATTTCCTTTCCCCTGCTTCTTCATTAAAAATAACTCAACCTGTTACCGCTGTTTTAAAAGTGCGATACGATTTTCTACAGTCAATGTGGGTATAATATGGCATAGTATGGTATTGTGTAGACTGACATGATTTGGTATGGTTTGGTATGGTATGGTATGGTATGGTTTGGTATGGAATGGTATGGTGTTGTAGGGTATTGTACGGTAATCGAGCATTATATCAAATTAATGTGT